CGATGCGTTATTTGCGTTCTATCTGCGTTCTTAGAGTTCTACGAGTTCTGGGAGTTCTAACAGTTCTGACAGTTCTGACAGTTCTAGGTGCCCTTCCGCTTGTCACCTCGGTTTTTTTGTTGATCGGTGAAGCGTTTTTGATTGGAGATGGGTGTGTCGGAAGGAACTTGAAATGAGGAGTGGGAAACTGTTCGAAAGTTCGGGTTGTAATTTTTCCGTTTTGAGAAATATGGAATTTATGAGTCGCGTTGTCCGTTCGTCGGGTCGAAGGGTATTTTCGTTCGGATGCATTTTTTACTGTCGCAGGTATATCGCTTAATTGCTCAAGGGATGGCCAGGGACGTTCGACCTTCGGTGTCGCCGTCGCAACACGTCGTTTATTCGAATGCGAACGATGAGTAACATCGTCGAGGAAGGGAGAAGCGATTGCAAAGTTTCCAGCGGCGCAGACCATGCAGTGCATATCGTTGTTGCACAATGCCGGCGGTGGCCGCGTCGCGCCGTTTCGGTCTGGTGTAACGGCGCGGCGTTGCGGCGGCGGCGGTGTCTCGGTAGCCTGTCAATTAACTGTCATTAACATCGGCGAATTAGTCGGAGGCGAGCGTCGGATACGGTATTCGTAGGAGTACGAGATACCGTTCGAACGAGTTCGTTGATTATTTCGCGTTTCGCGCCTTCTCCCTCGCGAGCGTACGCGTTTTCGCACGCGCGCTTACCCACGCGCTCCAGCATTTATTCGAACGCATTTCCGGTGCCGCTCACTCGCCTAACCCAGACCGTTTCCTTTCGACGTCCCGCGCCGCCATCTTCTCGCCGGATCGTCGACTTCCCACGTGTTATTTATCCAATTGATCCTGCCACCTTCCATTTCCTATTGCCTCGCTTCTTTCCGTGTTCCACGATGCTGAACGGCGTTTAGCCGGTCGATGGGCTTTCTAATTGCTTCATCAATCTTGCAGCGCGATTAGTTTACGCCGTCTTGTTTATTAGTTGCATTGTTCGGGGATCGTACCACGGCGCGCGAAATGAAAAACGACGACAATTGCTTAGTCCTGCCAGACTTGCGAGACACGCGCCGTATACGTGTAACGTTCTTCGTCTTTTAGGAACGATCGTTCGTGCCCGTTTTGCCTAAAATTCTATTTGTTTAACGCGTCGAATTCCATCGAGCTCAACGGTGACCAACGAAGCCAAGATTTTTAAATCATGTTTCAATGCTTTGAACAGTTTTAGTACGAGAAGTACGTCACACATGATCACGTAATAATTAATTACACAATAATAGGTTTCAATCAAATACAAATTACACGGTAATAAATGACGATGAAATATACGTTACACATTAATAAATTACAATTCAATATGAATTACGCATTAACAAATTACAATTAAATATAAATTACGCAATAATGAATTACACAATAATAGACTACAGTGAAATATAAATCACGCAATAATAAATTGCGATGAAATGTAAATAACACATGGTAAGAAATTCATGTTGGCCAGTACAGGCAAAGCGTTTGAAATTAGCGTGACATTCAACGCATTAATATCTTGGGTCTCCTTCTTTCCTACGATTCCTTTCACGTGCTTTCTCGATGCAGCATGCTCCATAAGCATCGAAATCCGCGGCTTGAAAGGGAAAGGGTTAAATTCGGCAAAGGGATGGATCCGCGCGAGAACCAAGAGAATTTGGGATTTGTTGCGACAGGATAGCGGAAAGCTTTCCTGGCAGACCGGGAGCAAGTGGGCCACCGCTTGTCGGCCTAATTGCGAGTCGAATAAATGCGTGGCTTGTTCCGCAGCGATCGGAATCGGCCCGGCCGAAACCCGTTTGCCGATGCGTTTTAAACGCGAGCCGAGTAAGTCCCGCGTTTCGCGAACAAACGTCCCCGTCCGTATCTGATGCGGCCACTTAGGCCCGCGACACCGTGGAATATTTATAAGAGAGGCGCGGGGTTTTAAAGCCCCGGCCTGTCGCGCGGATTGAGTTGTCGCGCGTGTAATATGCCACACAGGACGAGGACATCGCCGGAGATTAACGACACGAGCACCGTTCGCTTCGTGATCAGGGAACGCGTCCACCGGGCCTCGCGTGCACGCCGCAAATCGCAACAATCGCTATCTTTCGCCCGATGTTTCTTCGTTCATTAATAATTTACACCGGGGATCTTTTTCGTTTGCTCCGAGAAATCTTACCCTCCTCGTTTTTCGGTCCGCGGTCCCGGTCCTGATACGTGACGCGAAACCGATCTCGTTTCGTTCCATTTGCTGCACCGGCCGTCCGTCCGGGCGCTTCTGCTTCTCGTGCTCGAGACCAGAACTTTGCGCCATGGAACCGGAGCTTGAATTTCATCGGAACTCGTCCGTACGATTCTATAAATTTTAGAAACTTTTAACTTCTCAATTATTGCTTTTTGCTGTTTCGTGTTAACTTTCGTTTTAACACTTTTTTGTTTTATTAAAGTTCGTTTCCGATAGTTATTTTGTATTTGATTGATGAAAGTTCGGAAGGAACATTTATGCTTCAACAGGCATTTTCGAGTAAAAGTTTATGCTATTTTTCAATTCACTTAGCGTTTGTTTAAGGATCTGGGGACGGGGTAAATATTATGTAGATGGATAAGCAAGACGTGATTTTTGTGTACTCATTTCAACGTACGCTTGCATTGAAATGAAAATTGGACGATATATAATAAAAACCTATCATAAATTATTAAGTACTATTAAGTACCTTATTGTTAAGTACTTTACTATTGAGTACTATTAAGTACTTTGATATTAAGTACTATTAAGTACTTTGCTATTAAGTACTATTAAGTACTTTGGTTATTAAGTACTATTAAGTACGACTAAGTACTTAAGTAATTCCACGAAGCTTCAGAAAGGTGAAGCAGATTCGTTCCAATGATACTGTTTAGCATTTTAAATTGATGTAACAGTTATTGTTTGACTTTTAACTTTTCTGTGCTAAGATAGTTGGGAAAAAGTTCTAGTTGAATAGTAACAGTTATCCTGCTATGAAAAAGTTAAAATACTTAAGAGTATAATGTAATATAAGTAATAATAATATAAGTACTATTACGTTCTTAATAGCATAATGTAATCTAAGTAATAATAATATAAGTACTATTAAGTACTTTATTAAGTGCTATTAAGTACTTAGTAGCATAATGTAATCTAAGTAATAATAATATAAGTACTATTAAATACTTAATAGTATAATGTAATGTAAGTAATAATAATATAAGTACTATTAAGTACTTTATTAAGTACTATTAAGTACTTAATAGCATAATGCAATCTAAGTAATAATAATATAAGTACTATTAAGTACTTTAACTTTTTCATAGCAGGATAACTGTTCAATTAGAACATTTTCCCATTTCCGCAAATTAAAAAGACTTTCTGTTCGCGCATAAATAGATGGAATAAAAGCTTCAATGGATCTACAACCATCTTAGCACGGAAATGTTAAAAGTCAATCGATAACTATTACATCGGAGTCAATTGAAAATGTTAACCAGTAATCATTGGAACGAACCCGCTCCGTCTTTCCGAGGCTTCATGGAATTACAGAATTAATCAGTCGTGTGTAGAAATGATAATTAAACTGTTCGGGTGAGCACGAAGATTCTGAATGGTAGAGATAATGAAGTGATCGTTGGGGTCCAATTCGAAATGCGCACGATTCCATTCAAAGCGATTCCAACTGAAATTAATTTCACGATACAGAGAGCACGGTAGACGCCTATTCATTCAGTCTATGCTAGAAAAATATCCACGAATGGCGTTATTTGTCCGATCCGACCAAATAGGATGCGGGTATATTCAATCGTTGAACGGAATAGCGGGAATGTTATGAAAATCGAGTCCCGGCACGAGCTGCGCCGCGTCGTCATTATATTCGCAAATTACAATCAATTTCTGGTCAAACGTTTGTTTTGAAATTGCCGGGGAACCAATTGCATATCACCGACGCGACGGCAGAACCGATAATGTATCGATAATTGCGCTGGAATGCTGAGAAATAGAAATGGCCCCTGGACGTTGTATAGAACCATGGACCCAGAGCTCTGCGTTTCGAGTTTACAGTTCGCGTGCTCGAGTAATCTTCTTCCGCGACCGAACAATCAGCCCTGAATGCAATTATTTGCACCATTACCTCCCGAAATATTTAGCCGCCGCACGATCTTTTCGCTTTTTCGTTGCCGTGCAAATACAAATTCATGCGCTGCGTCATTTAGACATTGTCTAAACAATTTATACATCCCTTTAACAGCAAGACGACTTTTCCTCTAGTTTTTTCGATAATATTTGATTTTTTAGGACCGAGGCATTTCGGCTGTTTTCTATGGTCGATAACAAGTCAAACTTTCTAGTCCTTTCAGTTGTCAAATTACTAGGTGTACAAATAAGTTTTAATCCATCGCTAATGCATCGCTGATTTTTGGCCGAAAAGAATTGTAAATTTTTTATCACTTATAATTCCGTTAACTGAAATCTCTACTTTACGATACCATATACTAACAAATAGTATCAGGCGTCCCATGATTGTAGTATCTTCAATCTGAGAACACATTCGTGATACCGAAAAAGTGCGAAGTTCAACGGTTGCCACAGACTTGGAAACATTTTTTTTCGAGCATGCCGTTTACAACGTCGTAAAGTTCGAAATATCTCCTTTAATTTGAAGATCGATTTACGTCGCTACGATTAGAATTACGGCATTAGAATTACCCAAGGTAAACCACGAGGAGATTGCACGGCTGGACCTGCGACTGATGTGTATGTCACAGAAATAGGGACAAGCGCAGAAATAGGGTCAAGCGCAGGAATAGGGACAGCCATAGAAATAGTGACAGGCGCAGAAATAGGAACAACCACAGAAATAGGGACAGGCGCAGAAATAGGGACAGCCATAGAAATAGCGACAGGCGTAGAAATAGGGATAATCACAGAAATAGGGACAGGCGCAGAAGTAGGGACAAGCGCAGAAATAGGGTCAAGCGCAGGAATAGGGACAGCCATAGAAATAGTGACAGGCGCAGAAATAGGGACAACCACAGAAATAGGGACAGGCGCAGAAATAGGGACAGCCATAGAAATAGCGACAGGCGTAGAAATAGGGATAATCACAGAAATAGGGACAGGCGCAGAAGTAGGGACAAGCGCAGAAATAGGGTCAAGCGCAGGAATAGGGACAGGCATAGAAATAGTGACAGGCGCAGAAGTAGGGACAAGCGCAGAAATAAGGTCAAGCGCAGGAATAGGGACAACCATAGAAATAGTGACAGTCGCAGAAATAGGGACAACCACAGAAGTAGGGACAGGCGCAGGAGTAGGGACAAGCGCAGAAATAAGGTCAAGCGCGGGAATAGGGATAACCACAGAAATAGGGACAGGCACAAAAGTAGGGACAAGCGCAGAAATAGGGTCAAGCGCAGGAATAGGGACAGCCATAGAAATAGTGACAGGCGCAGAAATAGGGATAACCACAGAAATAGGGACAGGCACAAAAGTAGGGACAAGCGCAGAAATAGGGTCAAGCGCAGGAATAGGGACAGCCATAGAAATAGTGACAGGCGCAGAAATAGGGATAACCACAGAAATGGTGACAGGCATAGAAATAGGGACGAGCGCAGAGATAGGGACATCCGCAGAAAAAGGAACAGCCGCAGAAATAGAGAGAAGCGTAGGAATAGCGACAAGCACAGAAATGAAAGAATTATTAATTATAGAATTATTATTATTCAAATGTGTTGAGTCTATTGCATAACGTTTATCGCATAGCGGGCATTTACGTAGCGTTTCGGAAAGCTAAAGTAAACGCAATTCAACTACGTTACAATCGTTTCGATATTCCTATTAAAGACAACATTCGCGATAGACTAATGGTAGAGGTTTTAACCTGTCGTTTTAATTTATCGGGCTAAAGCTAGTTCGTACCGAGTTAATATTTCGAAAAACATGATTCGTTTCCATGAAGCGCAGCGTTTACTGCATCCTCTTCGGTTGTGAAGGGTAAGGGGGAAGACTTACCACCGAACACGGTATTTTCGTATTGTCAGATACGTGGCTTGTTACACGAGGTTTTCATGGTCGGGTAAGTAACGGTCGGTAGTTATGGTAATCGGATTTGGTCGGACCGCGGTAGTCGTGCAGCCCGATGATTGGACCTGACAACCGTACTGACCCTTTCTCATAGTTTCTCACCGAACGGTCGGACTTGCAGTCTCCTATGATTTACACGTGCTCCCGGGAATTATTATTCTTGGGGCTGTCGCGTCCCGTCGGTGAAATTCAACGTTAACGAATCGCCGCCGTGTGGCACCGTCAAAGCGCCGAGATGCTACCGTGGAAACCACCTTCAGCTATCGAGAACCCGCTACGGAATTAGATGAAGCGCTGATGTATTTGAATAGTAAATACCCGGTCCTCGCGGCTGCCGAAATATTCGTTCACCCACGCCCCGCTTCGTTTCATCGAAACCCATTACCATTCCCTGTATTTCGTTTCGACAATCCGTATCTGTACGAAATACTTCCTTCGTGACCGAGAAGTTATTTCGAATAAGAGTCTATACGTGTACAGGGTGACTCAGAAATTAGTCCACACGATTTTTCAGCCCCGTCGGATGGTCTGAATGAAAAATATTTCCTATCAAAGTTAATTAGCATTTAACCGACAAGAAATTGCAATTGTTTAAATTTAGAAAGAAATTGATTTTCGATGAGATAACAAGGTCTTCGTTATATTTTTAAATGAGGTTATTTTTGAGGTTATTTTAACTTCATGGTATTGTAGGCAACGTCGAGACGAATTCAACGACCTACTAATTGATGACCTTCTGATTATATTGATCAGATTCTGATTATATTACATGTTTCGCATGTAAACATACACAAATGAACGTAAACATTACAAATGCTCATTCATTCAATTTCAGACCTTAACACATAAAACAAAAAATAAATTTATATAAAACCAAATATCGTTAGACCATCGGAAGGGGCTGAAAAATCGTGGGACTAAGTAACTCACCCTGTATACGGTGTGTCCCGCGAACGCTGTCCATTTAGATAGATCGGTCGTTTCAAAAAATGCGAGAAAATGTTACCTACAAAAGTTGCAAGGTTTAAGAAAATACAAAATATAATATAAATCGTATAATATAAATCGTATCGATATAAATCGTATAATATAAATCGTATCGACATAAATCGTATCGATATAAAAACATTCTCTTGGAGGAAAGAGGTTCCTAAGTGATTCCTGTTTCTTGCAACATGTGCAGAAAATGTTTACTTCTCTATTATACTATAATATGCAACAAAACATAAGTCACGCCTCATATCACAGTAAATTATCAAGAAATTTACTCGTAATTCCATGATGGAATCGATTAGATGCAAATGCTCTAAGTCAATAAAAAATAAATAAATAAATATCCTCAGTTCAATAATAAATCTCGAACACAATTAAGAAAATAAAAAATTCCGAGACACGGAACGAATGAAAAACATCCTCGACACCGTAGAAATCCCGACAAAATCGAGCCGATTAAATTCGATGAAATAGAAATTCCGTTTAAAATTGTGCCAGAATCGCGGGAATATTTTTTGTTGCAAGATAGATGGCAGATTTACATGCCCCATTTTTAGTATCTCGCAGACACGATAGAAAAACCCGAGTCAGCCGATAAATCATCGCGAAGCACCTGAAAAGACGTTGTTCTGTATTTATTGCAGGAAAAAAGGGTGACGGCTTGAGGGGCGGAAGCTCGTCGACCTGTTGGCTGGCCGCGTACATAATATTGCGAGGCGCACTTCCGGTTTAGCCACCACCATGCTCTGCACACTGATGCTTCAAACGTTGATCGTTGTCGTGAACATCGTGCCTGAAGCCCGTCTCCATCGAGCGAACGTCAGAGGTGAGTTTTGAAAACCGTTCGACGGAACACGTCGATGAAATCGGGTTTAACGATAAAGCATCATCAACATTATTCAGCGGATTTCTCTCGTTCATTATTAGCGAGCTCGTATTATCTTGTGTGTCATCGGATTCGCCGTGATTTCATTTAAAATACAAACCCTCCGTGCTCGATGGTACGTTCTTATTGACAGAAGCATCCTATCTTCCGTTATCTGTCAACATTTTGTTGCGATATCGGATGCAATTATTAGTCAACGATAATTACCTTATTAATTTAACCGGTCGTTCGATCATTTCCATAATAATGTAATTATTATCGCAACGGGGCTTGTTATCGACAGTTAATTTTATCATGAACGAATACAATCCGCGGTCTGATGATTATGAAGCTTTCAATCGAAGTGGAGAACAAAGTCCGACTTCTAGAATGAAATTGCTAATTAACTGTTCGATGCAATCTGTGCTACGGAAAGCAGCTGTCCCACCGTCGAACGGCCGGCCAGATCGGTGTAAATCTCGTCTAAAAATTCTGTCAATTGACGTACCGCCAGCAGGCAGCCGGCAGCTTCCAGCGGCGCGGATATGCCGATAAGATCAGCGGAATCCCCGATGGTAGATAAGACGCATCAAAAGTGGCATTTACGCCGGTGGCCGGGCACCGCAGGATGACAATCAATTACACCGCGAGCCGCCTCTCCTGGACGTACACGAAATATTTATCGGCATAATTAAAAATCAACTGTTGGCTCCGTAACAACCGTTAAGGCGTTCCAAGGGAGCATAAATAAGCCGCGATTAGCATTTTATTGCGACGATCGCGATCAGGAATCGCCCCGGTACGTTTTTTCCCACCGTTGCACAGAGCGCCTCACAAATATGAAATTGTCGAGCCCTTAGACCGTATATAACTATCATAGACACCGCTTGAGATGGTTTTCCTGAAGCCAAGACGAATCGACTACGTGATGTCACAGTCAATTCGATGTATTGGGTTGGCAACTAAGTAATTGCCGATTTCAGTTATAGATGTCTCTCACTCCCATTTTTATGATATCCGTAAATGTGATATAAAATTATTATTATTATTAATATGTTATTTTTTATTATCCGTGAATGTTAGCAACTGGACAAATTGAATACAGCGGTCAAGGAAAAGCGAGCAGAATTGGTCAATCGTAAAGGTGTCATTTTCCAGCAGGACAATGCTAGGCCGCACACGTCTTTGTCCACTCGGCAAAAATTGATGGATATTGGTTGGGAATTGATGTTACACCCACCATATAGCCCTGATCTCGCGCCATTGGATTACCACTTATTTCGATCCCCGGACAACTCCCTTCGTGGTAAAACTTTTAATGATGATGACGCTGTAAAATCTCACTTAACTCAGTTTTTGGCCGAAAAGGATCAGACTTTCTACGAGCGTGGAATTTTCAAGTTGTCAGAGAGATGGCAAAAGGTCATCGAACAAAATGGAAAATACATTACATTAGATTAAACTTCATTCCAAGTAAAAAAAAATTTTTTATTTCATTGAACAAATCGGCAATTACTT